AAATGATAAACCAAGATTTATTTACAATAATAAATAAAGCTGGTGAAATATTAGATGCGGATATTGCTTCATCATATATTGATTTTGAAAATTTAGAAGCATTGGATGAGAATATGATAATTAATAATTTAGAAGAATCGTTATTATCTGATGATTTACAATTCGATTCAAAACAAATTCAACGTTCAAAAAAAATTAATAATTTAATTTCAGTTAATAACACAGATACAGAACGATTTCATACTTTAAAAAAACGTATTGTAACTCGTTGGAATACGATTTTAATTATGCTTCGTTCATATATCGATAATGTAGCTGGTATTGAAATTATATTACATCGACTAAAACATTTTGATTTAATATTATCACCTGCAGAAAATCAAATTGTTTATGATTTAGTTGAATTTCTTGGTTTACTTGAATCAGCAACAACAATTTTATCAGCATCGAAATCTTATACAACAATGAATTTATACTTATTATTAAGAATGGTAAGTTCTAAAAATTGTATGATTAATTATTCTGAATGTAAACTAGCTAGAAATGAATATTCATCTCCAATTATTATATTTAAAGACATGAAATCCGTTTTCAAGATTTTTAAAATAAAAAACTGTGTATCTTTCATAATAAAACTATTTGGTAGCTTTCAGATGGAAAGATATTGTTAATTAATTAATGTTTATATTAGGAAATAGAATCTATGTTGAACATTACCGACATGGAATCATCAGTTATTCGAGAATTTAAAATTTTGCTTTTTCAAAACCTAAACAAGAGATTTCCGGTGATTCCATTAAATATCTGTGGTTTTTTACTTGATCCATCACAACTCAAAATTGATATTAGTCGTTATTTAACTCAAAACCGAACAACAAAAGAATTAATTTTGTTAGAAATGATAAAGAAATTTAAAATTCATGATGTTCCACAAGCATCCACAACAACAGAAAATATCTCAACACGTGCACCATCTTCACATTCAACTGCACGTACAACAACATCATCATCTAGCATGAAACGTAATTTATCAGTGGAGAATTTGAGCGAACCAGTTCAAAATTTAAAAAAACTTCGAGAAAATTTAATCCAAAAGCACACACCAATTTCAGTGCCCTTTGTTGATCCTATTGCTAATGAAATAGAAAAATATTTGAGACTTGATGTTAACTGTGATGATGTACTTCGATTCTGGCGATTATCAGGAGACACATTTCCTCATTTAAAAATTCTTGCTCAGGTTGTTCTTGCAATTCCAGTTACATCTACACCAAGCGAGCAAGTTTTTTCAATAACAGGTTTGATTCTCAATGCTAAACGAACAATGTTACTACCAGAGAATGTTGGTAAAATACAAATGATCCATGACAATTATAATTTATTTAAACCTACTTAGGATTTTATTTATTTCTTGTATATTTTTTTCTAGTCATGTAAATTTGTGATAAATTTATATATTTTCATTTATTGTTCGGCTACATGTTACTTGTGTACTTTATTTATTATATCCCGATGTAAAATAAAGTTTTTCCACATATTTATTTGAAAATAAAAACGACTGAATATTGAAATAGAGGAATTTTTATTTTTTCATGATGCTATAATACTTTTTTAAATTTCAAGCCGCCGCGCCGCTGCGACACTTTAATTATAGCCGCTGCGCCGCCGAAGGCATTCGAAATTCTAAAAATTTCGAGCCGCCGCCGCTGTGTAGGCTTGGAATATTGAATCTGCGCCGCCGAGTATTTTTAAAAAATTTAAAAAAACTGGCGCCGCCGCCGATCAGCCTATCGGCTTACACCTCTATATGTATGTATGTGTCAGGGTCAAAAGAACAAACCAAAGAGGTTAGCTTATTTTAAGACTTTTGGTCGTTTTGAGTGAACTTTGCCATAGGTTATCGAGGGCCCTGAATCCGAATCCATTGCCCATTTCGGTGGCCGAGGTCTCATTAGTTGAAAACCGACCAATCAGAAACGAAATTTCTTATTTTAAAGGCTTTTGACCTTTTTGATGGAACTTTGCTATAGGTTATCGAGGGCCCTGAATCCGAATCCATTGCC